GGAAAGGAAATGCAAAAAAATTTATGAACATTCCATTAGGATTTGGTAACATTTTGTTAAATCTGCTTACCTCTATCAATGTACGTTAAGCACCATCAATGTCCTTGTACAGGACTCAGACTGCTGCAAGGAGCGTACAGTCAAAGAACAGTATGTAAAAATATTAATTAGCGCTAATTATCAAACTATTCAAATTTGAAAAGTTGGTTGGTTTCACAGACTAAGTGGATACCTGCTGTAGGGTTGTCGGATCAAGAGATAACTAGGATAACAAGTACTGTAACTTCGTGGATCTGTACAATTCTCCCAGGAGATGAAAATTGTGTGGGAAGAATGCTAGTACATTGCTTGTAGGGTAAATTTGCTTCAATATATATTTTTTAAATAATTATTTGTAGTCTACAGGCTTATTATGATAGGTTCTGGAGCCAACCCTTGAAAATTCAGTTCACAGTATTTAGAGCAATATTCTACATGGATGATCTATAGGACAGGAGAGCCACAGGCACATCTCAGACAAACATAATCTGTCAATAACACTTTGCTAAGGGATATAGAAATCTGGGGGATGTTAAAAAAAAAAAGACAATCTCAATACAGGGAAATGTTTAGGTTGTGGTGGTGGTGGTGTTTTGTTAAAAAAAATAACTAAACAGGTATTCAGATAAATAATATTCCTTCAGTTAAAGAAGTAAGTAAAATTTGTGAGGAATAGCATATTTATTATATTGTATTTCCAGAAGTTGAGACGTATCATGCTTCTCGCTAGTTGATAGCAATCTTGAGGGTCATTCAAATGTGCAATAACACCCAGAGATGAAAAGAAAATGGTTAAAAAACATGGAGGAAAATGTAATGAGAAAACATGCAAGTGACATCTAGCATAAGTCATATGAGTGATTTGACAATTATATCATGATGTATAAGGTACTCAGGCAATTTGTATCTCAGTGCTTTGTATTTTTAATATAAATTTCTATATTATTCTCAGTTCTTTTATGTATGTAACAACTGCACCTGATTTAACAGAACAATTTGTTATTCTATCATCATTATCAAGTATTATGCCCAAATCCTGATATATAAAGTTATAATTCCATTTTTTTCTTCTTTTTTTAAAATAATATCTTTTTCAAAGACTTGTTTTATTATTGGGCTTTAAAAATTATTTACAGTGTTACAGCAAAGAAACTGTAGTGAGAGCCTGAATTAAACAAAACAAAGTAAAGGAATTGTGAGACAAAGATTCCATTTCATCCTCAGCCATGGCTAAATATAAAATATCTGATTTTTAAAGTGATCTTATATCAACATTTGGTCTTCCCATGTGAAATTTGTGTGCCATTAGTTATAGAGAAGAGTACAAATCAGAAAAAAAAATGTAACATTTAATTCTGTATTATCTTATTTTCACAAGTTTTCTTAGTTACATTAATTTGGGTTAGATACCTACCTTCTTAAAATTTTCAGAAAAGTATTATGCACATCTAAAACACTCCAAGCAGAAAATAATATTACCTTGGTATAATATATTAAAATGTGATAGACATGATGAAATACTCAAAAATAAGAAAAGGACACAATTAAGATTACCTATGCAATTTTAATTCAGCTCCTTTATGTGTATGGATTATGATAGTCTTGCCCAACATCACACGGGAAGTCTATGGACAGCTAGGAATAGAACCCAGCCCTCCTGCTTCCCACTGGAAGACATTCTTTCCCTTTTGCAATGTCTCTGGGGAATATAGTGAGGCCCAGCACAGAATCCAGATTGAGGTTCTTAGATGAGTGTGAGAATCATGAGCTGTGTAACAGCAAAGTAAGACAATACATTTCCATCAGTTCTTTTCCTCTATGGCACCTCTGCAAATCTTTCCAGAGATGAAGGGAGATTTGAGCAATTTTGAACCTTTCATGGTTTCTGGAATTTAGAATACCCATTGTCGTTTTCTGCTAGATAGAGCCTATCATTTTCAGTGTGGTCAAACCATATTATGTATGTAGGTGAGTGTGTCTGAGAAAGAGGGAGAATGCATTAGGTGCATCTTTTGTGGCTATCTCCTGGAGCACTTTTGATCTCCAGGAATAAGAAGATGAGATCCCCGCCCCATCTTTGGCTTCTTAATACCACATAAAAGGACTTTCCCAGACCTGAAAAAAGCTCTGTGTAAACTCGAAAGTTTGTCTCTCTCTCACTAACAGAAGTTGGCACAATAAAAGAAATAACCTCACCCAGCTTGTCTCACTTTAGATCCCTGACACTCTCTTCTCCACCTCTAGATTGTGGCTTACCCTGCAGCAACTATTCAGACCACAGGATCCTTAATACTACGGTAGTGGGGTTTTGCTTGATTACTTTAAAAAACAAACTCTTTTTAAACTGTATTATTATGAAAAGGCATCTAAATTCATAAACCTCCCCTCCTCATTCTTCCCCCTCTCCCTTTAATTAGAGGATTAAATTAATTAATTCTGTAATTAGAAATGGCACTTTCTTTCATTCAGGGAGAGGGGCAGGGAAGGACACTTTGCTCTAACCCCAAGAACTTTTATTGCATGGCCAAATGTAATCAAGAGTACATTTGTGAGTTAAGAGTATCTGAAATTCCCCAGTTTAAATAAATATGCTAATAGCACCTTGCAGTCACCCCTTTAATATACAGTACATATTCTCACAGACATTCCAATTAGTTGGTAAATGCCTTTATTGTCATAGACTCTTCATTTGCCTGTATTTCTTGTCCTTTGTGTAAGGGTATATCAATTTCATTTCATTCTGTCAGAAAGGTCATATTTTTAATTTATACAACTTTCTGCCAGTGATATTGTATTATGGCAGCCATATCAACCAATAACATATTTGACCTCTGTAAAGACTTATAAATCAATGACATGGTTTATAAATCAGATGTACAATTTAACTTAAAACTCACTAGTATGACAAAAATGAGCCACATAATTCATAGACAGTTTCATGATTTATTAATTAGGCATATAATTTATAAATCACAAATCAGTGCTTAGCAAGCCAATTCTTGACTTATAAGTCAGTATTACAGGGTCTTTAGGTGAAAACCATTCACACAATGGAGCTGGGAACATCACCTATAATTAAAGTGGCCTAACACTTTCCGTTATAGGACGGCTGTTTTCAGTTGCTTATAAGGTTGTCAAACTTTAAACATTCAGTATGAGATCTTCCATGCCAAGTGTGTTCCTCAGGCCGGCTGGTTTTTTTTGTTTGTTTGGGGTTTTTTTTGGTACAAATAGTTCAGCCATTTCCAAGAATGAAGTTAGGGGAAAATACATTGGTTTGTTCATGTTAAAAAATATATATATTATAAGCATTACACTGAAAAGTTGCAACATCTTTATGCATTACAGCAGGGACTTGAAATTTGCAGAGGAATTGCTCTGATATTAGGCATGTGCATTGTACTGGCCATGTAACAGTCCACCCACACTTGGCCATAGTATAAGCCCCTGAAAAATCTCAGTTTTCACATGTTCAGTAGAAGTTTGTTATAGACTGGCAGCTAAATTCTCTAAGGATTTCATCTATACTAAGCTTGCTCGACCCCCTCATATCTCCTATGTGACAACCAGACCACACATGTGCCGTCATCACAAAAGACTTTTGCAAAATACCCTGTAACTCCTTGCATCAGAAACAGTCAGGTTTCTTGCCTTTAATTTCACCTTCCAAACTGTATGAAATAGTTTGAATTTGTTTTTCTAAAGAATCATAGACATTCAATATTAATATATTTTTTTCTTTACAAGTATTTAACCCTGGAGTAAGCCTTATCTGGTTAATGTCCAGCAGGCAGTCAGGACCCCTCCCCCTCTCTTAATAAGTGTCCAGGATGCAAAACTGGTAGAAATAAAAGGGAAGACTTTATGTGGTGGCCCTATTCACATGATATGGAACAGAGTGACAAAGAGTCCATCATATGGCAAGAAACAGTAATCACTGAATTAGAGTGAATTAGGCAAAGAAATGTCCTTAACATGGCAGCTCGTAACATGTAGTTCCAGCATGAGAGAGAAGATTCCCTCTCCCTCCCAAGACAGAGAGCTAATGAAAGGGGAAGAAACATGCCGAATCCTATGCCAAAGCTTACGAGAATGCTTAAAAAATGAACAGAAGTGAGCATTGCAGTCTTCAAAGGGAAGGAGAATCCTGTGAAATAAAGAGATAGGAAGAGAGGAGTGTGACATTACACCCCATATTCATCACAGTAATATTATTATAATATGATTCTGATATAATCATAATGTATTTTATGCAAGATAGGGCATGTGAGATATCATTGAAAAGTTTATGATTTACTGAATATGATTATCCTATTTGTATGCATGTATCTTTTTGGTATCTGAAGTTAGGAGTATTGTTTTTGCATCTATTACAAATCTATTACAAATGTGTTTACACCTGGGGAACGTCCACTAGGCAGAATGCAATCAGTCTAGACGGCTGGTGGGGAAGGGCCATTAGAGAAAACAATAGGCCTTAGAAGTTTATCTCTCACCGGAGAGTCTTCCTGTGGACACTACAAACAGCCTTCAAGTCACGGCTGCTGTGACCCTACAGGGACATATGACCAAGTCACCTGGTACTGGACTCCATCTTGGAATACCAGTGTTTTTCCACTGACCAGGCATGGGAACCAAGCTTAGAGACAAAGGGTTCCCGCCATATGCAAAAGCTATTTAAGGCAGGAGAGTGACATTATTGTGGTTCTTCACTGACTCCCCATCCAAAGAGACTCCTGGAAACAGCCGAGGAACAAGAACTGACCTAGGGGAAGGGATGGACCCAGGCTAGAGGGATTACTAGCCTTTGAAAGGAATACCTAGTGAAGCTTGCCCTTTATGAGCCTGCAGCCGGCTTACATCATCATTTAGGGTTAGCATTTGCTACTCATATCCAAACTCTTTAGTATATTAAGCTTAGATTACATTTTTGTTTATTTGCTAGGTAACCTGCTGTGATCTGTTTGCTATCCCTTATAATCACTTAAAATCTTTTGTAGTTAATACATTTGTTTTTGCTTTATCACAAACTGGTGTGTGGAAGTCATAACTTGGGGTAAAAAGCTGTTGTATATTTCCTCTCCACATTGAGGGAGAGGGCGAATTTCAGGAGCTTACACTGTACAGTTCCCTGTGCAGTGCAAGACGGTATAATTTTGGGTTTACACTCGAGGGGAGGAGGGGGTGCCTAAATGGCTGGGAAGTTCCTTAGATGAAGCCTTCTCATGCAAAGCTGGTCACAGCATCTGTATGTTTCTGCAGCTGTATGTGTGCTGGTGAAGGTGCAGACTGGAGCCTGAGAGAGGGCTTGGCAGGCTGGTCACAGCAGTACAGTGTAAAGGGAACCCAGGCAGGTGGGTCAGGTGGGCTCAGTGATACCCCAGGTCCAGGTGGCACCGAGCAGGGTGGCGGGGGCGGGGGGACCAATCACAAGGAGAAAATACCTCATCCCTTCCCCAGAGACTGTGATGAGGACATTAGCAGGGCAGAATCATTCCCTAAAGGGAAACAATGTGGCTGCAGGAGACACTGTCCTTAAAAGGGTAGCTTATCCCCATAAGCAAACCAGTAAGGACTGTGAACAATGTAAGGGAAATGAGAATGGTGCCATCACAAATGATCCCCTCCGCCACCCCTGACCCTTGTGAGGTATTCTCGTCTCCCAGAGATACAAGTCTGGCACATTGTCACCTCAAGCCGGTGGCTGACTGAGTTTCAAGGACCAGGAAGAACCTATTAAGGATTCTCCCAGTAGGAGTCGGATCACTTGCTGGGGCAGGAAATTTCTGTGAGGTCTTTGCCAGCATCACACCAAGGACACCCAATTCACGAGTCACGTTAACTCTGAGCTGCTCTAGGTTCTGCATCTGTAAGCATAAGCCTAATGGGAAGAAACTGTCTCAAGTAAATTGTACTCCATTTTGCTTATTTTGCTTTATACTCCATTTTGCTAGCTTTGAATTAGTAAGAAGAAATTGTAGCCTTGAATTAGTAAGAAGAAATTGTTCTGAGTTTATTCTTTGCTGATTGCACTAATGATTTTAATGTTAGAAGGATAGAAGTTTGTGGCTGTAATTGCCTTATTTACTGTTTGGTATGTGAGTGAAGAATGTATGGTAATTATCTGAGAAAAGACAGCTGGGCCGGATGGTCAATAAGGGAGTGGAGGAGTCGAGAGGCGCCAACTTTCACCCGGATAGCAGACTGATGACCCTAAAGCAAAGGCATATGCCCCAAGGACAAAATAAAGAGTGGAGCCAGAGGAACGAGATAAGAAAAAGCTGTGGATACTCCCAGTAACAGCCGGATTGGGTGCAACCTTGACTAACAGCTCTGGTGTGCCACAGACTTGTATGGGAACTTATTACTGTAAAAGAAGGGTGTATTGCAATGGGATTTTGGGTTCATTCTGCATCAACATCGGAGCTGAGTCGAGCTCCCCATCCCTCGTGTACAGTTTCAGCTGGCCACTGGAACTGACTGAGCAACAATAAGGATTGGTAACTATAAGATCCAGCTGCAGAAACTATTGGTGTGTGTGTGTGTGTGTGTGTGTGTGTGTGTGTGTGTGTGTGTGTGTGTGTGTGTGTGTGTGTGAGAGAGAGAGAGAGAGAGAGAGAGAGAGAGAGAGAGAGAGAATGGAAGCATATGTTGATTTTAATGCTTAAATTGTACTCTCGATAAACGCGGTGTATTGCCTTATCTCCTTTAAAAAGATTCCATGTGATGCTTATAAGCATTACACATCCACATGGAAAAGAGCCTGGAGCCCATGCTAGGCACCTAAGAACCAAAGGGAAACAAGAACATCCCTAAAAAGGTCTGCATTTCAAGCAAACAAACTAAGCTGTCTGATTCCCTCAGCCCCGATCCACAGGGCACTTCAAGGCAGCTGACTGAAAAGGACTCTCTGACTTTAAAAGGACATCTCATTCCAGTGCAATCCTGTATGGGAAAGAAGATTTGCTCCCTCTTCCAAGACGAAGGGCTGTTGAGATTAGGGAAAGTGCTATCCCCATCTTCACTCCAAAGATCATGATAAAGAGTCATAGAAAAGGGGATGATCCATTTTTAAAGGGCCACTCATCCCCGAGAGGTAACGTACATTGGTATAGTTAGGGAGGGGTTCAGGGGGGCATTACTTCCCCCAAAGAGAGGTAAGGTGTGTGGGAGCACAGGGGAACACAGTGATTATTACTAATCTCTTGGTGTTATTTCTGTATGCTGTTTCTTAAAAAAAGAAAAGATACAATATTTGCTATGCATTAAAAGCTCTACATAGTTTGTTTGGTACAGAAACTGTCTGATTACATCCATCTCTATTTGGCCCACCATCTGGTCTCACATATTTGCCTGAATGAGAATTGTTGTGTTGTTGGGTGGTATATTTCTACGTGGAGGAGGTCCTAGTATTTTGTTTGTTTGTTCCTGTTATTTGATCCCCCCAGCTTTATATTTTTAAAATAATACAATTCTATGAATATACATACAATGTTATTTCTCCTTAATGGGTCTATGTTGCATTGCTGTTTTAGGAACATAGATCATGCAAACACAATCATAAGTACACCAAGTTATTTTCAAACAGAGTTCTGAAAAGGCTGACGTTACTATTTATTCTCAGGACTTATTAGTTGATCATTCCGTTTTGAGATAATGTGATACACAATTAAATTCTGCAGCTTAAGCAAAAACTGTGGCTGTAATTACAGGTCCTCATTTTTTTATCACATCCAGGTAGTGACTATCTGTATTTTACCAGCTGTAAACACAACATAGTTGAAATATCTCCTTTTCCATGATAGTCTGAATATTTAAGGGATTTTATTTATTATTATTAATTATTATTATCTCTCCTTTTAACAAAAATGTTAAACTCGAGATTTATCTAGAGACAATATCTATAATTCTGTTGATATTATCTGTATCATACACCACTAGTAACTCAATTTTCCTACAGTTCATGGAAAGATAATTTCGTGAATTGGTGAAATGGAATAAAAAAATCTCAGCTGTGTCGTATGATGCAACCTTGTGTTTTTTCATTTACGTTTTGCTCCTGTGTCTGTCTATGGTTCAGGAAGTTCTCTTTAATTATGAGCAGAACTGACAGCAATAGTTACGGTTGCCTAGGTTCTCCCCCTGCATGACAGGAGCTCTGTATGCCCTCCATACCTCAAGCTAGGGTTCCCGATCTCTTTCCATGCGAGGGCCTCCGTGCGACCCTCCATGCCCCTTTATGCCCACTTTCCCTCCCCTGTCTCAACTTCCACCCCATAACAGGGTCACCCATTCTTACCCTACAAAAAATTCTGTGTGACCCCTCCTTCCCTTCAAAGCTAGAAACTCTGTGTGACCACTCCCCCACCAGGCTCCTCTATACCAAGAACCCCATTCTCCCTCCCATGCCAGGAGCGGTGTGTGCATTCCCTCTTTCTCATTCTCATTCCACCCACCATTTCTACTCTCCTTTCTTTCTCTTTCAGTATGTCAATATTTTTAAATTCTACTGAGAGGCTGGGGAGGGCTAAAATAAGGAGCATTGTTATGCTGGAATGTGGTATTGACTGCCATCAACCGGCTCTCTGATCTATAGTAAATTACAGAGATGGTTGAACTGCAAGCTTGCTACCCAAATGCCAGTGGCTCAGAACATCACCCATTTCTCCCCTCCAGTTTTCCCCATTTTCACCCACATCAGTAGGGTTTTCCTATTGATGCTTTGAACATTCCCTGAAATTTTGTAACTGATTCCGTTACATCCAAACATCTAAACAAAGAAATACCATCAAGTTGAGTGTAAGGGCCTCACAAACTCAGCCAATCAAACCTTTCTTTATATTACTTGCAATCACATGAAACAACGTTTCACAGCAAAAACAACTTTCATACATCAGAAAGATTTTTTTTTTTGTATTAAAAATTGTATTCACAGAACATTTTCAAGAGTAACTATGGTTGTCCTTTTCTGACTTTATTGTAAATAAATTACAAATACTTTAGGAGTCAATTCAATTTTTATTCTGTCAGTTCCTAACTGAATAGATTGTCTTGTTTTCCTGCTTGAATTAGCAATTGACCAGGGAATTTTTGACAGGCCAACATACCATGTTTCACAAGTATAGTATTCAGGAATTAGTCACTCCACATTTTACATGCTATTTATAACAGTAAGAATGATTGAATGGCAGGGCATCTAAATAAATACCCTTTGTTAGGAAAGTTGCTTTGGTTTCCTTCTTTTTTTTTATATCAGTGGAAATATATAAGTTGATGTTTAAAAATAGCTGTACATTTTCAGAAAAAAATAATTCCAAATTTTAGTTTTTAGTTGTGACATTTAAATATCCAAATCCCAGCTAATTTAACTAAACTTTGTCCCTAAGCCTCAATTCTCTAGTTTAGTCACCTATTAGCTAATTTTTACTAAATTATTACCACTTCATTGGACCATCTCATTTTTTTCTAGATTCTTCATGTAATCATTTACAAAGTGTTACTTCAAAAAGTCTCTAGTGCATAGAAGCAAGATTTCCTTTGATAGACCACTGAAATCATCTTCAAAAAGAACATAAAATCACTAGGAACTATCTTGCTCCTTTCTTGCCTGCTTTAAAAAAAATCCTTCTTATAGGGCCTATACCTTGTCAGGTTTTTAATGTTTTCTAATATGTTCCTTAATTAATTTTAGGACTAACTCTCTCCAACTCTCTCCAGTAGTTAAGGTGAGTTAAAACAGGAGTGGTGTTCACAATTTCTTGTGTCAGGGTACGTCTACACTACCCACCAGATCGGTGGGTAGCGATCGATCTATCGGGGATCGATTGTAGTGTAGATGCGATAAATCGATCCCCGATTGCTCTCCCGTCGATGGCTGAACTCCAGCTCAGCGAGAGGTGGAAGCAAAGTCAACGGGGTAGCCGCGGCAATCGACCCCACGCCATGAGGACACGAGGGAAGTCGAACTAAGATACGGTGACTTCAGCTACACTGTTCTCGTAGCTGAAGTTGCGTATCTTAGGTCGATCCCCCCCCCAGTGTAGACCAGGCCTCAGTCATGATTCTACTTTACGTCACTGAGTCATAGATTCATAGCTTCTAAGACCAGAAGGGACCATTGTGATGAACTAGTCTGACCTCTTGTATAGCACAGGCCATAGAACTTGCACAAAATAATTCCTAGAGCATATCTTTTAGAAAAATATCCAATCATGATTTTAAAGTTGTCAGTGATGGAGAATGCACTACAACCCTTGGTAAGTTGTTTCACCATTAAAAATGTACTCCTCATTTCCTATCAGAATTTTGTTATCTTCAACTTCCAGCCATTGGATCATGTTATACCTTTCTCTGCGAGTCTAAAGAGCTCATATTTAAAGAGTTGTTCCCCATGCAGGTACTTATAGACTGTAATAAAGTCACCCATGAACTTTCTCTTCGTTAAGCTAAATCGATTGAGCTTCTTGAGTCTATCACTATAAGCCATGCTTTCTCATCCTTTAATCATTTTTCTCTGAACCCTTTCCAATTCATCAACATCCTCCTTGAATTGTTGGCACCAGAACTGAACACAGTACTCCAGCAGTGTTAGCACCAGTGTCAAATAGAGAAGTAAAATAACTTTTCTACTCTTACTTGAGATTCTCCTATTCATCCTAAGATCACAATAGCTCTTTTTGGCTACAGCTTCTTGCTGGGAGCTCATGTTCTACTGATTATCTATGATGACCCCAAATATTTTTCAGGTACAGGATGGAGTCTCCAACACTGTAAGCAAAGCGTACAGTCTTTGTTCCTGGAAGTATACATTTACATTTAGCACTATTAAAACACATACTGTTTGCTTGCATCCAGTTTACCAAGCCACCTACATCTCTCTGAATCAGTGATCTGTCCTCTTTATTAATTACCATTCCCCATTCAAATATATGAATATGAACTCTCACTCACCACCCTACTAATAAATCACAATGCAGTTGATAAAATGACCCAGCAATTTTGTTGTCTGAATTATATGGTTTGCGGAATTTTGAGATTCAACTTTACCAGGTACAACTGTCAACATGTTGTGCAGTATTACGATATTAGAATGTTTGTTATGAAATATCACTAACAGTCTTCCTTGTATTCTGCCAGAACTCTAAACAGGAGCAACAGGATAGGCAGATGATGGTTTGTTTAAATGCCAACAAAGACAAAAGAAAACCACATTTTCCATCAGGGACATGAAAGAGATAAAGCCAACATCAACACTACAAGAAACCCCAAACCAAACCAAGCCCACTTGCCCTACCTCCCCAAAGACACCACAGAGAAAAAATCCTAAACCAAATTAGTTTCTTCCCTCCTTTGGAGGGGATGCTGAAACCTTGCCATTCTAGTCACAATGGTGTGTCTAGCAGAAGGTATCACAGAGCCAGATAATGGCTTGAAGTTTGAGGTCTGAAGTACCACTGAGCTTATTTGGACTCAATACAGTTAAAGGAAAATGTGTTACAAT